GCGAATGAGACAAAATGGCTACTGACGTGACGTGACTGTGGCGCCGTGTTTTCACTTGTCACGTGGACTCCATATGGGTCACGGAGGTTGCGGGGTGGGGGTAATAACAACGCAGAGGCTGCCATCTTGGCCCCCTAAAAAGCTAGCGCTGAGGAGGGAGGAGGAGAGGCTTCGCAGACTGCAGTGACGGAGCACAAATGTCTAGACGGGCCTGAGGCGGCAGACGATCAGTGGGGGTGGACACACTACACTCTTGGATCTCGTCGTGAGCTAAATATTGGATGTTGTTGCCGTTCACAAGCAGGGAAATGTTAAATTGATGACTCCTACGTGAGACAAGAATCATTTGAATCTTCATTTTGCCCACCAGACCGGAATTGCGCATAAAACTGGCTAAAAGCTGTGTTAAAGGATATTAATAAATAGGGAACACGCTGGCCTAGTGGGTTAGTTAGCTACTTTAGCTAGCTAATGTGTTAGCACTCAAGCTTCGACTTCACAAAACACGTGAGGAAGCTTCAACATTGGATGGACAGATCCTAAAAGAATAGTCTAAAAAGTATGGAGGGGAAAAATATCAGATTTTAAGGTATATGTAATGTGACGAGCATAGATAAGTATGTCGCGCCAGGACATACAGTATAAAAAGTCCACACACCCCTTTTCAAATGGCAGATTTTTTTTTGTGTGTGATTTAAAAAAAAAAAAAAAAAAAGAGACCAAGAAAAATACAACGGTCAACAGCAAAATTTAATCAGATGGTTTTGTATCCGTCAGCATATTTTTGACACCGACTTCAAAAATTGTTTTCTTAGCACCACAGGTTTTGGACATATTTCGTGTTTTGTTTTCACGGTGTAAATTATAACTGTGATGTTTCAGAAAAAAACCCACCTGTTTTTAAAACTAACTCTTAAATCATAAATATGACTACAAATATTAGTATATTACATTTTGTATTATTATTATGAAAACCTGTTGTGCCACAGAAAAAAAAGATTCTGAATCACCGCAAAAAAAAAAAATCTTTTATAAAAGCTGACTTGGGTCTCTAATTTGAAAAAAAAAAGTCCAAATTTGCTGACCGGTGCCGTTTAAACATTTTTTCCATATTTATGTGGTTCTGTAATAGCTGTAAAACTCACTGTTTATCTTTTTAGGAGAGGAATTTCACACCTGAGATAAAGTGGTTGCACATGTGCGCACGTCCTATCATAACTGGGATGTGACTGTTCAGAATGAACCAATCACATTCAAACCCGTGTATAACAGGAGCCAGTGTACACCTGTCGCGATTCAAATCGCCCCTGTCAAACACCAAATAAGGTTTACTGTTCAAATGGGCTTTCGATTACTTTTTTTGTTGGGTTTTTTTTTGCTTTCTGGCAGAAGCCTGACAGTTTTCTGCAAATACCTATTTGAAACTGTCCGTAATTCCCTCCACTTAATGTAGGGCCCCGAATGTTAGGACCTGATTTGAGCTGAATGAAAAGCTCTTAAGCTTTATTTATGATGTTCTTTTGGGGATGAGCTTTGTCTTGCGCCAAGAGACTGTTTTGCAGTAGACTGTAGAGAGGGTTGGGGGGCGCTTTAGGGACACCTTGTTAATACTTCCAAAGAGACTCAATAGGCACGTGGCTGACTAACTTGTGCATATGAAAAGAAATGTACTGTCTTCTCTCTTTAAAAAAAAAGTGATGGCGTATCACCCAATCTTTCTCTGTGTCTGCTGCTCTCTCCATGAACCCTGAACGCAGCACGCAGACACCCCTGAGCATAAAAACAGGTGACAGGACAAAAGACATTCAAATCGAAACGTTCAGCGACGACTCGGTGACACGTAGCGCGTTTTTATTGCGACGGGGTATACATTTGCTTTATGTGGGGGAGAACAACAGAAGTTTGCGAGTAGCTTTAAGTGCACTTGCACAGACGGCTAAACGTGCGAGGATGCACCTTAGCGACAAACGTCTGCTCATTCAAAACTACCGCATCGGGTTTATGTAAGGTCGTGGGTTTTTTTAAACTCGATTCAGGCCACGTCTAAAGGAATATTTGGTCAAATGTAGTATTTTAGCGGCGCCGTGTAGGTGTGTGTTAGCCAACTCACCTGTCTGCGCATTCGGCAAAATCTGCTGACGCACCAAAACTTTCACATCGATTCCCCCCGTCCCAACCCCCACCACCACCAAAAATCCAATTCTCATAACGACGATACGCTGGCGGTGAAATAATGTCCCACATTCGGCCAGGTGTCCTCCGTGAAAGGAGTCGAGCAAGTAAAAGGGAAAAGGCTGAAAAAAAAAAGTCCGTGTCCTATTTTGTCAATTTCAGACACACTCCAGACAGTCTCGGAGCGGCTACGTGCGCGTTCCCTTCCGCGCGTGCACGTCGAATGGCGCGGGAAGTCGAGACGGTCTTTGATTGAAAATGAGTCTGACCAATGGCGACGCGAGGCGCAGAGCATTGTCCAATCATGGGGCCCGATGTTAAAATTTTCCGCCCACTCAGACTCCGCGCTGTCTTGTCGACGCTCACGATGAGCTTGAATAAAACAAGCAAGAGATGTGGGTCACAGACTGGTGCAAATTCTCTCCAGGGAAGAAGGGTGAGCTAAACACGGCACCATATTCAGTTTGAAAATATTAGACATAGAAAACAATCCCGCCCCCCCCCGCCAAAAAAAAGCTTTTTTTCAATGACACAATACTATAACAATACTATACAAGGATATTCAGTAAGGAGATATTAGCCATTGCAAATTTTAGTCCTTTATATCGTAAGAATTTTAGATATTTCTTTTACTTGAAGGGGTTACTAGTTCAAACAATCATTTCACTATATTTTAAAATATTCTTTATTGTACAAAAAATACCATTTATCCAACATTTATTTTGCAAATCTTTAAAAAGCGATTCAGTTGTAAGGATATATTTCATTCATTAGTATTTTTTATGATTTTAAAAAAATATTCCTTATACTGTTTGTACATTGAAATAATAGTAAACAAACGTTTTCAAATTATTACATGTGTATGCATACTGTATAGACTTACTGAATGTAATGTGTGTGTGTATATATATATATATATATATATATATATATAAAGAGAAAAATATAAAAATCCGGGCACAAATTCCAAGGTCGGTTAACAACTGATTGTATTTAATGCTGTTTTTCCCCCATCTTCACAGGTCATTAATATGCAGTCTTTCCCAATCTGCTCGGCTGATCCCCTCCCTCATCTATCTTTGCAGATATTGACCTGGTTGGTGGCACAAAATAGCTCCTTCCTCACAGTGGGAACCCATAATGAGGCAATACAATGAGTTTCACTTCACTGCTCACCTCTCGTTGGTTGTCTCTCGTCGTCTTTGTTGACCTTTTTTCAGCCCAGGAGGAATTTCGAGGGGGGTTGGAATTCCACTGAAGTGGACAGCTAACGAATCAACTGATGGAAATGATGAATGACAGCGAATAAGGATGAATATGTGCCATTTCGAATTTCTGTGACTGGAATGAGCTGAAATATTATTTGATATCAACATTTGCATATATTCATGACCGCTTTCTACTGTACTGTCAATCTTGAACAAAATGTTGAATTAATGATTTAAGAAACACAGGACTTGATCCATCCATCGATACATTTTCTATATTTCCTGTCCTTCTACTGTGATATCTGTACTGTGATTGCACAAGTGTGCACACCCTTTTGTAACTAACAATAGGACTGTGTTCAGAATTAAATAGCCACAAAGTTTTTGTCCTAACACTGACTGTTATTTGGAATTGTTTGTAATTCGCAGAACCTTGAGTAGGGTTCCTGTTCGAGTTGAAGCCCCAAAGCACAATGCTGTGCGAGCTGTGTTTTGTTTGTACCCAGCATACGTTTTGGAAATATGGTGAAAAAATGGGAAGCTTGTTTCATTGGACTATAATTTCAAAGACAAATTCCTATACGGGGTGGGACATACAACGCTAATGGGAATTTGCCATAATATGTACATAATATGTATCCAAAAAATTGCAGCTTCTTCAATGTCCCTCCCCCCTGACAATAGGACTTTGTTCAGAATTAAATAGCCACAAAGACTAAAGGTTTTGTCCTAACACTGACTACTATTTGGAATTGTTTGTAATTCGCAGAACCTTGAGTAGGGTTCCTGTTCGAGTTGAAGCCCCAAAGCACAAAGCTGTGCGAGCTGTGTTTTGTTTGTACCCAGCATACGTTTTGGAGATATGGTGAAAAAAATGTTAAGCTTGTTTCATTGGACTATAATTTCAAAGACAAATTCCTATATGGGGTGGGACATACAACGCTAATGGGAATTTGCCATAATATGTACATAATATGTATCCAAAAAATTCCTGCAGCTTCTTCAATGTCCCCCCCTCCCCCCCATCTTTTCATCAATTTTAGAGCAATGTTCAGCTCTTGGTAATATCATTGTTGTGCTGTATTTTCTCCACTTGATGGTGACTTTTGTTACTGTGTATCATGGTGTAGTTAATAACTTGGAAATTGTTTTGGTGTTGTACTCTCCTGATTGTTATATTGTGTCCAAAGCCTGTTGATGTTGTGGAAGCTCTTACAGGGGTTGTGCTGTAAGATATGACTGAATAAAATGTCAGCAACAGCCTATAGAAGCGTTTAACTTCATTGACAGGTATTTTGAAAGGTGGCGACTCTTTTTAACACGAGTTTTGATGTGACTGGGTCATTCTGAACGCAATCATATCCCAAGTTATATGAGAGCAATAACTACATTATCTAGGTTGAATCTTTATATTTTCCCCGTTGAAAAGATTTTATTGAATAAAGTTTTAGAGGTTTGTCGTAATTATGGTGGGAACAATTTTCGAAAAGATTTATTTGCCTTCTGTCATCACCTCGTTTCATCACTGTCATCACTTTTGTGTTGTGTTTTCCCCACCTCGCCGAACGGGGTCGCTGTTGTTTCCTAACACGCAATGACTCGCCAGGAACCGAAGCACAAAGCGCTGCCATGTTGGTGCTTCGCTAGTTAGCAACTTAGCACAGCTGCAACGGGACCGAGCAGCCGCGCTTGTTGATTCCGTCGTTGCGCCACTCAGTCAAATCCTGGATTTCGCCTCATAGAAATGTCGAATTTATAAACATATTTCCAAATGTTAGCCCCAGTTGTGTAGTCACATTCCTCAAACGGAAAGCGCTCTTGCACAATGTCGGCCAATGACGAGGGTAAGCGGCTCTTTTCTTCCTGACGGGTGCTATGCTAACTTAGCCGAGTGGCTAATGTTAGCCGTGAGCTGTTTTTTTTAAATGTATTTTATCGGCTACATACATGAGCATACATTGATTTTTTTCTCGATAAAACAAATGGACAGGCTGTATTTGTTTTGACTCGGCTACAGGATGAGATATAGCTTCGGCAAGCGAACGTCGGTTTCTTATTTAGCATCGCTGAACATAGGGGTTCCGCGACCAGCCAAATTCGGCCGCAATAAAATAATACTGTGTCAGCGTTTGATAGGCAACTACTCCGCCGGCGTTGGTGTTACATTAACACACCGTGGCCTCTTAACTCGCTCCGGATCATAACAAACAGGGACTCAATTTGCACAGCCTGCTGTGGGATGTCAACCACTGTGTGTGTGTGTGTGTGTGTGTGTGTGTGTGTGTGTGTGTGTGTGTGTGTGTGTGCGCGTGTGTGGTGGTAATCGTGTATTTTTAAAGTTATTAGTTGCGATGGTGACACAGTATGATCTAAAATCCAAAGTTGCACAATACAAATGAAATACTTCAGCACAAGTCAAGGTAGAGTAATAAACCTTGTAGAGTTCCTGCATAAAAAAAAAAACAACAACCAAATTACAGTTTTGTGCTTTGGGATCCAGGGACATCTTGGTGCCAATTGACTGAAGTGAGTTGAGGAGCTTTAGGTTCTCCCTCGTGTCTTTTACATGCAATTACTGCATAGTATAGTCTAATAGCAGGTACTCACTGTTTAAGTGAGCATTTAGAATCAGAATCGCCTTTATTGTCATTGTATTTAAAGTTATTAGTTGCGATGGTGACACAGTATGATCTAAAATCCAAAGTTGCACAATACAAATGAAATACTTCAGCACAAGTCAAGGTAGAGTAATAAACCTTGTAGAGTTCCTGCATAAAAAAAAAAACAACAACCAAATTACAGTTTTGTGCTTTGGGATCCAGGGACATCTTGGTGCCAATTGACTGAAGTGAGTTGAGGAGCTTTAGGTTCTCCCTCGTGTCTTTTACATGCAATTACTGCATAGTATAGTCTAATAGCAGGTACTCACTGTTTAAGTGAGCATTTAGAATCAGAATCGCCTTTATTGTCATTGTATAGCATACAACGAAATTTAAATTGAGAGACAAACTTTGAATGGGGAATCTGCAGACACATTTTTGTTAAAAAAAAAAAAAAAGAAGAAGAACCATCCGTCCTCTGGTAAAGCAACAACTTGTCAGTTAAAGCTGAAATGAACTTCGTTTGCTATATTAAGAGGCACTCTAAATGTCGGAGGTCATGGAAACTGATGATAATTTGGTCCAATTGGTTGATTTTGGGCTGCCCGGTGATCGACTGGTTAGCGCGTTGGCCTCACAGTGCAGAGACCTTCCTGTGTGGAGTTTGTATGATCTCTCCGTGCCTGCGTGGGTTTTCTCCGGGTACCGCGGTTTCCTCCCACGTTCCGAAAACATGCGTGGCAGGTTACTGGAAAACACTAAATTGTCCCTAGGTGTGAGTGTGTGCCCTGCAATTGGCTAGCAACCAGTTCAGGGTGTGCCCCGCCTCCTGCCCGATGACCGCTTGGATAGGCTCCAGCAGGCCCCGCGACCCTTGCGAGGATAAGCGGATCCGAAAATGGATGGAAGGATGGATGGTTGATTTTATGTGAATTCTCATGACTGTGATGTCATGATTCCCGAGAGAGCGTGGATAATAATTTTTTGTGTGTGTGTGTGTGTGTGTGTGTGTGTGTGTGTGTGTGTGTGTAGGTTGTTTCTTTGATGAATATGACAAGCCTGGAACAGAGCGTTCACGAAGGAGGAGGGGCGAAGATAATGATTTAGAGAGGTAAGTTTCATAAAATAAAATTTTAAAAAAATCATCATATATTACGAGATTCTTGGTTCACGATGGCACCAACTTGCGATGTTTCAGCGTGACAAACATTGAATGAATTTGGTATGTAGATTGTTTTATATTTCTGTCTAGAATAGTTTGGATAGTTAGGACATTCCTACTGCATTCGCAACAGTTAGTGATCGACGCCGATGCGTTCTGACATGCACACAAACGTCAGATTATATCGCCGCTGTGGAAATGTAAATCAGTCGTAAACCAAGGTCCCCCTGTACTGTGGGTTCTGAGAAGGGGGGTAAAAATGTACATTCTGCCTCCAATGCATTTGTATTTTCTCCTTAAAAGCGACTTGGAGGACGATTTGTTTGAAGAATTTTCACCGTTGGGTAAGAAGGTAAGACCTCACGAAAATAACGTCACGGACGATGATGACACACTCAACATTTTCTTACTGCAGTTTTTTTCTTTCTCCGCCCCACCAAGAATCTTTCTGAAGATGACGAAGAGTTGAACGACGCGCTTCTTCAGAGTGACGAGGAGGAAGAACACGAGAGGTAAAGCAGTTCAGCACTATGTTAAATTATATTGCTTTCAATGTTACAATGTAACACTTGTACTGTATACAGTTTAAACCCTTCCAAAAAGGTTGGATCGCTGTACTGTGCTGAAAAAAAGATCTCAATTATGATATCCTTTAATTCGAATGTCATCACATTATCGTCCAATACAAAAATATCCCCGATGATTTTGTATGTTTTGCTCAAAGAAATTAAAATAAATTCAATGTGAGCAGACCTTTTCATCTCAATTTTTTTATATGATGCCACAATGCCGAATACATGCATGAAAACTATTATTTATATGTTACAGCTTTAGCCTGCAAGGGATCACGCAGGACTTCCCGGACGACACTTTCAACCCGGGTGCCAACTACTACGAGAATGTGGACACCGAGCCGGATTACCCACAGAACCAGGCTGACGAGTTATATACTGAGAACTACACTCGGGATGACGTGCCCGAAGACCAAGTGGATTACACTACAGACGAAGTGCTGGACATCCAAATCAATGAGCCCATCGACGGAGAATTTCAAGTGAGTGGAGAGAGTGCGTCCCATCTAAATTATTCAGCAGGTCTGTCATCCACGCAAACATGGAATTTTTCAATATCGGGCCGAAAAAAAGTGACGTAGGGGCAGCATGGGTTAGTGTCGGAGTGGTCGTTTCGGAACCCGGAGGTTGGTGCTTTGATCCCCAGCCACTGCAAGCATGTCGAAATATCCTTGAGCAAGATACTGATCACCCCCCGCAAGTTGCTCTCCTGATGCTGCGCCATCAATAGGTGAAGGGAGGTAACAGTGTGAAGCACTTTGCGTACACGAGGTAGAAAAGCGCTATACAAGTGACAGCCCATTTACCATTTTATGTCATTTTTTTCCCAATATTGGGCTGATAATTATCGGTCCAAAAAATATCGTACAGCCCTAATATTTTGCGAACATGGGATGAAGCTTTGAGAAGAGCCAAAGAAGAGCTCTTAAACAGAGATTTTAACCCCGGACCCTCTATACCAGGGGTCCCCAACCCCCGAGTTGCACAGAAAGAATAAATAACTTACATACAACAATTTACTTTTTATTTATTTTACAATCTGAAAGATGTTTTACTTTGAAAAATGACCGGATTTTCTGTTACATCCGTCTGCAGCACTGGTGTCAAAGGCAAGGCCTGGGGGCCAGATCTGGCCCGCCATATCGTTTTATGCGGCCCGCGAAAGCAAATCAAAAATGTCAAGTTCGATGATGCTTGGTAAAGTCCGAACCAAAATTTCAAATTGTCATATGTAATCCACAAAAACAGTCATTATTCTTGACTTCTGATTTTCAAACTAGTTATCCATCAATTTGTTGTGCGCTGTGTATGTAATATGTGGAGGTGATTAAACGTTGATATGGATTCCCAAAATTCATTACGGCCCACCAAGGGAAACCGCAACTAGAATTTGGCCCGCGACAAAAATGAATTTGACACCCCTGGTCAACAGTATGTCACTCTTGACACAGGTCAGGGCGCGCTTCTCGGTCACGTGATAGGTTACTGCTAAAATGAAACCCAGGAGCTAGCAAAATAATGACAAAAACAAACATCTTTGGGAAGGGGAAAAGCGCAGCCAGGAGACAGAAGAGGAGCCTACGACCTTCAAGAATAAGAAGGCTACATTAATAGACAGTATCAGTAGTCCTACTTAAAATACGGATTCATCTCATGGGGAGACTCCAACGCACCAAGCCCATGATATGCGGCGATGGTGAGTCGTATTTTTCATACACTTTTTTTATTTGCGGTGTATCTTATTTTGAAGGCATGTATCAACATTACCATAGCGACCAGAGAGTGTTGCGGCCAGATAGGACGTTCCTCGTGTCATGATTCGTGTTTATTATTATGTTTAGAAAATATCACAGTTTTCATGCAGGTCATATCATTTTATTTTGTTGTATTTATCCGCCACACCTTAAAGGCCGGTCCCTGAAAATATTGTCTGACATTAAATCGGTCCATGAAGCGAAAAAGGTTGGGGACCGCTGCTCTACACCATCATTACATTTTCTGTCACGGTTATCCTCATTTGGCGTGTTACATTTGTATAGTGTGATGTCATGTCGCTCTCCTCTTTAACGTTTAATCGAGGACTTTTAATTCCCGCTCCTGTGTGCCCGAGAGATATCGCTTCCCTTTGGGTGATTGAGAGTTAGAAATCTGTTCAGGTAAAAGGAGATGTAGGTCTAGGTCTGCATTATTTCCTCCCCCCAACTATCTCTTCCCGCCGCGAGGTAATTTCTCCATCACGCTGACAACGTTTACGCTGACGGCTTGTTTGGCGGGAGGCCGATTCACCGACCGAGTGCCATTGTGACCTTGGTATCTCTTGACGAGTAAGGAAAGGCTTTGTGCTGCCAGTCGCCGAGGTTAATGTGGGTGGGCGGCTGTTTGATGGGGGGCTTTTATCCGGATCTGATAACGCGTCATGCAGGTGAAAAGATTATTGACCTTCCCGAGGACACCCCTATACATGTCCCTGGTGATTGATGGTGAGCTTCTCTTTATTTGCTCCCTTCCCCGCTAAGAGGATGAAAGATAAGCGGCGATCCGTGCTCAAACGTCCGCCACGGTCCGTTTAACCAACATGCCATGCTGTTTGGCACTTTGTAGACTTGGACAAAACTATTGGGACACTTGGCCTTTCACACGGAGATGAAGTGAAAATGGCGGAAGATTTTTGGAGCTGTTCAACTGTGTCCCACTTGCTGGAGCTACATGGAAACGAGATCGCCATTCAGTGTTTACGTTATCTGCCAGCATCAACGCCGATTTAAATTATGTCATACCTCCACTGTCACTGAGCTTCCTGCCCTTGACATTTCTCGACAGCGCCATTCATTGTGCACTTTTCAGTTCGTTTCAAGGATTTAGCTCCTGTGTTATCTCTGGGGGCATCCTTGTCCCTCAATCTCATTTTAGCTAGTGTTTTTCTTTACTCTATGAAATTGTGCTGCTGTTTGGGAAGCTAATGAAGCAAGTCGCCATCGTGTGCGTGCGTGCGTGCGACCTTATCTTGCTTTTTTTTTTTTTTTTGAGGGTCTGTTTGAGCAGACACAATTTTAATTACGAGCAAGTCCTACGCCATTTGAATGGTGCTCATTGTGGCGCCCTTTTCAACGTGGGTTTGGAATGCTGAGGACACGTCGTGACTGGCAAATTTTTAAGTGCTCACAAATCATTTGTCATCTCGTGTTCGCGCGGCATCAAATTAGCCTCTTTTACACAGAGATGCTTCCAAATTGTTGCACGGGTTAATAGCACCTCCTGTCAGGTAGTGGGAGAACATTTAATTTTTCTGCCGTTGTTGTTGGTATCTATAGATGCCAAAGATACATTTGCCATTAAAAAAAAAAGCTATTTTCAGACCAAATAAGTGATTATCTTTTTTTCAGTTGTATTTATTTTCCTGAAAATACATGTGAAGTAAAAAAAAATCATAACTTCATCATTGGAATTTTCTTTTGTTTCATATTGTTCTATGCTGAACAGGATCCTCCTTTAGTTTCTCTTTATCATATATAGATTGCTCTGAGGTGTTTTTTTTTTTTTTTAAACCTTTTTTATTAATTTTTTTTTTTTTTTTAATCCCACTCCCTTGAAAGCTTTGGCCACATTTCTCTATATCATGTCCATCATTTACATCTCATTGACTTTCAAATGCTGTCAGGAATAGTAATGAAGCCATGCTCCCACTGTTATGCTAATTTGCTAACGGAAGAGGGTTCGGGTGGGGTTTTACACGGTGGGCCCCCCACCCCTCGAAAATCCTCTGTACAACATTTTGGTTGCCTCTCTGCAATTAGCTGCATTTTTTTTTTTTTTTTTGGGATGTGGACCAATGGAGAACGGAGACCTTTCCATTGCCACAAATTCACATCCGGGAAGAGGCAACAGTCACCATTTCAACACCTTTGTCTACAGGACAATGAATATCAAACCTATGAGGAGGGAGGAGGATTCGAGCAGGAAGTGGCCCCCGAGGAGGAGAATTTGGGGGATGAACAGGAGGAAGCGGCGGAAGTCTCTCAGGTCTTTCAAAAGCAAACGGTACAGTATATCAGAACACTACCATTAGCCTCAAAGTGATTATATGCCTCAATGAGAAGTTGTTGAATGTAGCAGCCAAGGCCTATCTGTTGATTGAAGAAAATGTGAAACCACATTGATTCCGTTGAACCAAAGAAAAATCATAAATGAGGCAGCACACCTGCGGTATTTATTTACCCCCTAGGTTGAAAATGAAGTCCTCCCTGAAGAATTACCAAAGGAGGAATCTGATGACGACGAGGAAGAAGATGGAGACTCTGGTCGTATCCGCTTCAAGTCGGAGAGAAAGGATGCCGTTATCGTGCGCTTGGCTGACGCGGGCAACAAGCGAAGGAACATCCCGGAAACACTCGGTAGGAAAAGTGTGCTTTTAATATTCCCTCAAATGTCACAAAAGGTTAATCAAAGGGTTTGATTTCTTCAGAACTGTCAGAGAAGGCCAAAAAGGATCTCGAACTTGAGCAACAAGAACGGCAGAAACGGCAAAATCGGTACGGTGGCCGAGGAGGAAGAGGAGGAGGCTACGCTGGGTTTGGACTGTCCAACATGAGAGGGGGCCACCGAGGAAGAATGAATGACCACAGCTTCCACCTGAGGGGCAACATGGGATTGCGGGTAAAACGAAACTACCCCCTCTTGAACTTTATTCATGTTGGCATACCCTGTTGTGAAGCGGACGAGTTCAGGTGAACAGTGGCTCAGTTTCGTGAGACAAGACCACCAGTTCAAAACAGGTCAATTTAAAGGGCAATCTAAAATGGAGCAAAAAGGGGTGATTAGGAATCTTTTGTATTTGGGGGGAGGGGGGGGTCCAGTGGTTAGCGCGTCGACCTCACAGTGCAGAGGTCATGAGTTCGATCCCGGCTCCGGCCTCCCTGTGTGGAGTTTGCATGTTCTCCCCGGGCCTGTGTGGGTTTTCTCCGGGTACTCCGGTTTCCTCTCACATTCCAAAAGCATGCATGGCAGGCTCATTGAACATTCTAAATTGTCCCTAGGCATGAGTGTGAGCGTGGATGGCCCTGCGATTGGGTGGCAACCGGTTCAGGGTGTCCCCCGCCTACTGCCCGAAGTCAGCTGGGATAGGCTCCAGCACCCCCCTGCGACCCTCGTGAGGATAAGCGGATCGGAAAATGGATGCATGTATTTTGGGGGCGGGGCAAAGCTTGCCACAGCCATGTTATTAAGACCCGTGAAAAATCGCCTAACGCCTCCTTTAAAGGTGGTATCATGACACCTGTGGTCGCAGAGCCAGACATTCACTGCTAAGCAACGTTACGACCACTTGCACAATACGAAGAAATATGAATCGTATCAAATATTCCTCCTGGACAAGTACTGCTTTGCTATGAATGTGTTTCGGAATAATAACAGATTTTGGTATTGTTCTTTCCTTCCGCATCTCTCTCTCTGAACATCAGCAGTCCTCTCGAATGCCTCTCCTTCATCTTCCCCATCAGCAACCGCAGCAGCACCACCACCACCACCAGTTTTTGTCCCGGCCGCGGGGACCCCACCCCTTCCCAGAGCACGGCCGGCCGCACGGACAGCAGCCCCTGCAGCCCCTCATCACGCCGCACATCACCCACCGCTCGCCGCCGCGGCAGCCCCAGATGGAGCCGCCGCCGCCGCCGCGACTGATGGGGTCCCCGCCGGCCGCTTTCGGCCATCCCCACAACCAACAGCAGCAGCACCACCACCACCACCACAATCAGCAGCCCCCACAACCCAAAAACATCCACATTAATCCCCATTTCAGAGGCTCAGGACCATCCTCTGTGCCAGGTTGGTGTCTCAAAGTGTAAAAATGGATGACATGTTTATACAGGAGTCAGAGAGTGCTGTAAAGATGATACATGACTACATTTACACTGCTTGAGCACGAGCAAACCAATTCCTCCTTATTATATCGAGTTGCCTCAGGCGCTCTGCAATATTTTGCATTGTAAATGGACCCCACTGGATCAGCAATATTTTTTTTTTCCTCCTCTCACCCCATCCAATTTGAAACCTTGGGGTAGGTTTTCCCCTCCTCACCGTCCGGACAAGGTACCTGGATTAGAATGTCATTTTGTCCCTGGGATGAATGACAAGTGAATACATTTCACTCCCTGCGACGGGTTTATTTGGCCTGTCTGTCCCAGTCCGTTTAACTCGAAACTAAGCATGTTTGTGTTTATTTTGCTTTGGTGATGAGGAAGTTGCTGATTCAGCTGTTTGCCTATCTCATGAATTCCTTAAATTGATTGAACTAATTTGATCTGAGATAATTTCTATTTATTTATGTATTTATTTATTTTTAAATAGCGCTCCAAGTACAAATAATGATTGTTCGTAACCCAAATCGTTTGCCTTTTTTTTAAAATGTCTTTCCTATCCTTAGAAACACCAGATTTTAATATAGCCTACCACTGCTCCCGAGAGCGTATTGTCACGCCACCACAATTGGTCAAGAATAGAACATCACAAAAGCAAACTCGGGTGTGCCGCGATCCGTCGTTACCTGAGCACGAAGCGACTGTGATGTCATTTTCAATTGACAGCAAGTGGCAAAATGGCGGCCTCAGGAGTTGGATAAAAATGAGTGTCTTTTTCTGCATCATTCATATTCCACAAATGCAATCTGTTTAGACTAGTGGGGGTGCGTACGTATTCTTGTAAGATCGTTTTTGACTTGACTTCCCTTTTCAACCGTGCAATGTAATTGTGCCGTTTTTGAAATTCCTTGTAATGATCTCCCTCCTCCTCCTCTGCCGACCGCCCCTCATTTTCATTTTCCCCTCCCCCATCCTTCTCTCTGTTGTGCACCCCACACCACACTTCCCTTTCATTGCAGTGCCCTTGATGCCTCCTGCTCCGAGCCAGCCTCGGCCTGCTGTGGGCCCTCAAAGGTTCCCTGTAAGTAGCAGCTGCTCCTCGCCCTCCCTTTTCGCAGCACTTTAGACGCCCCCCCCCCCACCCCCACCGCTACACACCAGCAACTGTTCTTGTGCAAAAGTAACATTACAGCAATTAGAGTGGTCCAAGCACTCCTCAAGCCAATTTGTCGACACCTATCCAAACCGCACAACTGGAAAGGCACGATAGCAGTTTGAAACGAGCGGAGGTTGTCGTTGCCGCGGCGACTGAGTTAGCGGCCCGTCATGGATGGGCCCGGGCTCAGACGGGCTACGTCAAGGCATAATGGAAGTCAGGTTTCCATCGCCAGTTCAAAATTCCCTTTCCAGACACGTCCCAAAGGCACGGAGAGTGGTATTTGAGTTAATGAAACATGGTGGTATTTTCACGGGGCTCAAGGGGGGTGGGTGGGCTTCTCGCCCTTTTGTAGCATGTATTTATTCGGAGGTGGAATTTCACGTCCGATATCTCGAGTCTTGCTGTTCGAAAGGAGGGCTTTATTTCACTCTCAAAGGATCGGACCAGAAATGCCTTGAAAGTCATTACTCTTAGGCGAGAGAACAGCTCGCCCACTTTTGCGACTGATCCCTTGGTATCAAGTGGCAGTGGCCATGACGTCCTTCCAGAAAGTGCCTTTTTATACCCATCCATACGGTGGTGACATCCGGTTTTCCACGCAGGCCAACACTTATCAAAAACATAAGTATGTTTTTCTTTTCCTCATGTCCAACCCGCCTGTAATCGTTCTTTTGCTTTTCAGCTCCCAACGCGGCCCATTTGTGCGGTATTGATAGCACAACAGCGGGGTGGGGGGCTGTTTATTTCTTTGGTCCCTCTAAATCTGCCGGTGGTACCTAAGCAAGGGTTTGGAAGCCTATGCAGAAAATCGGTTTGATGAAGAGCGCAGTGTCAATTCTCCGGCCGCCAATCGAATTTTGCCAGCGGTTGCCACGGACACCATTTGAAATGCACCGGGCTTATCAACCGGGGAACATCCCATTTACCAGTGGACGTGTGATTGGTCGTGATTATCATACATTATCATCCTATCAGACCCAATTGCGAGGGGCAAGGGTGGGGGGTTCGGGCTCTCGAGTTATTGAACGGAATTTTCATTAGCGTGCTTTTGAAATTTCTGCTGGATAATTATGGGCAGACAAATTAGACATTTGGCTCCTCTCGAACACCACCATACGCTGTATATAAATGATAAACATCACTACAGGCATGAATTTATAACAACAATCACGCAGGAAGTGTGCTTCTTGACTATCAATTAAAAAAAAAAAGCTTACAGTGTTTGACAATCACGGTTCGGCACGTGTTTTCGGCCCGGACCGTAAAAATGAAAGCCACCCATTTGGATGATTATTCCAAAACTATCTCTTACGTGACAGATTTTTTTCAAAAATTCCTTTTGTGTCTTGAAACAAAAGTGGGAGATTTTTTTTCAAAAATTCCTTTTGTGTCTTGAAACAAAGGACTTTTCTTCCCAACCATGCTTTCGTCTGACTAGCTTTGCGGGATCGTGGTGATTTACAAAGCCGAAAACTTTCCACGGGTATTAATGGAACTGCTTAAAAGGCAAAAAAAAAAAAAAACCCCAAAACGGTCAATCAGTGTCAATTAAATGAAGATAACATTTTCTAATATCAATATATTCCACAAATTTACAAAAACAAGTACAAGGAAGTTTTTCGTTCACTTGCTGGAAATGTTCATCCCCTTGTATTAGTTTTGACAGCTGAATGTGGTTAATTGACAGCCTGTATGGGAGCAGGACAATAAAACAGACACGACACGGTTCCTTAAACTAAATCCATGTTCACCGTTAGCGTTCTTTGGGATTTTGACCTCTCATTATGATTAGTCTTGGTTATCCCTTCGCTGGCGAGAGCTCAACATCACTCACGTATTGAACAGCCCCGTAGCCAGTTTATAGAGGATTAGAACTGAGAGGATGAGCCACGCTATTATATGGACGCCCGAGTCCTCATTGTGAAGATCTGTCTGTCTTGACCTTTTCAAACACTTGGACGGCGTTCCCGGAGTGTCCCCCCACCGCCGCCCCTCTTGTCTTAAAAGCCCCTTTGATGAACTTTTCCAAATTCTGGGGACTCGCGGCTCTCCTTCCAGCCTTCGAACGTCCTCCCCAAACACGGCCACGCGGCGGGCGAATGAAGATGGATTTAAGCCCTCCCCGATAGCATCTTAAGTCATTCCAAATGAGCTCGGAGGAGACAAGCATCCCCGTTTGTGCGAGTGCCACGTGTTGAATAGCAGGTTAATTTTTCAACAGGGATGAATGTTTGAAAAAGAACAATGGAGACGGTTATGAGAGGTAATTGAATTCCAATGAGGGGATTAGATGCTTGTTATCAGCTTTTTCCTTGGAAGATAGACGAGGAAAAGTATGCAACGGGCAGAAAGCTGAAATGCTTGAAACAATGATGAAGGCACTTATCCTCCCTTTGAAATCCTCCTGCCTTGTTAGCATCGACTTTAAAACGCTTTATCAAGGCCCAAGCAGCATTAATGCCGGTTGTACTGATTGGCACCCATGTTCAATTACAAAGGACCGCCTACCCCAAAACTCCTCGCACTTTCTTCTTCGACCCCGGGTGCGTTTATTTACTGCACAGGGGAGGAGATTAATCAAATAATATTAAATCATCCTTGTATATTACAATGTTTGCAGAAAATAATCATGTGCAAAAAAAATACTGTTCGGGACAAATGCCGAGAAACGGAGGCACTTCAAAAGGTCGCCAGAAAGTGAATTGTTCTGCCTGTCACTATACGTCGCTGACATAGATGAACAATTTGGATCATTTCCTGCCAATACCCCTGATCATCTCCGGCACATTAGTTTCTCATCGCCGCATTCAGCGAGGGGCCTCAATTAGCGGGAATACGGCATTTTGAGTTTGCGTGATCCTCACATGCGTTCCTATTGTTTTTTTTTTGTTTTTTTTTTTTTTTTTCCAAGGGACCGGGACACCCAACGCTATTTGAAAGCCCTACCCACTAACCGCATTCAGCGAGGGGCCTCAATTAGCGGGAATACGGCATTTTGAGTTTGCGTGATCCTCACATGCGTTCCTATTGTTTTTTTTTTGTTTTTTTTTTTTTTTTTCCAAGGGACCGGGAGACTTCCATCAGCACATGCCGAATAATTTTGGTCAGCCCCAGCGGCTGCCTCATCACATGGAGCCCTTCAGAAACCAACCGCACCAAGGCCCCCAGGATAGAGAGCCCCTCTTTATGGGAGGTGAGTCCCATGCCAAGCTCGCACAAAGGTTACAATGCTTCTCCTGGCAGAGTCAATATTATTCCACATTACCTCTGGCGGTTGTACCTACAGGGTGTGCCCCACGAGCAACGCTCATGTTAAATGCATGTTTGTCCATATGCTGCGCATTCATTTGAATGAGCTGTGGGGAAAACGGCATCAAACATATATTATCTCACGTTGCCGGTTTTAAACTGTAAATACTGTACAGTCGTTTGCGCTGTTTTACTTTTTCACCTCGATACCACATTCAGCCTCCGTCGCTGCCTGCACACAGGACACCCGCAGAGGGATTTACCGAAGGTTAAAAATTCTGACGTCAGTGTTTTGTATTTATGTATTTCTTTCTTGATTTTGCTTCTCACGCAGGCCCGGAACGCGCAGATCCGACAAGCTTTCCAGGGCAGCTCGTGTTTGATCACCCGGGCCCCAACCCGCTCATGAACACCAACCTGCATCAGCAGCAGCAAATGCCCGCCCAGGGCCACATGGGTTTCGGCCCACCAGGACCGGCCTTTGGCCAGCCGAGCCCACAGGGCGCACTAGGACTTTTCTCCATAGACCCGCCAAGACCCAGTCTTCCCCCTCCCCAAGGCCACCAGGGGCTGGTCGGCTTGAATCAACAAGGTCCTCCTCCCAACCAGACCAGGCCCTTCCTGAACCCTCGTCAGCCTTTCAATCAGCAGGGGGGCCTTTTCCCTCCTCCCCAAGCTCAATTTGGCATCCAGGTACGAGTGAAACTGCCTTTAATATTCAGTACGTGTTTATTTTTGTCATCTTGCTCTCCTCTGATCAGTTTGTCTGATCTTCAATCATTCTTGTTCCATTTTTCAACTAGTAAGTTTTTATTTATTTATTTTGGGGGGGGCGCTTTGCGCTTGAGTGATTGCTGACCACTCTATTCTTGAACAAACAACGCAATCAATGATATTCAGCGCAAGCAAAGCCAAACGACTCCAGTGTTCATGCCATGTGTTTGTCTGTTACCAGACATGGGCAAGAGCGCCCTCTAGTGATTCAATCCCACCCCAGTGTTTCCCAACAGTCAGGTCAGGGCACGCCAAGCCACCAAAATGTTTATATATACTGAAATAATGATCTCATTTTAATGTACTCAAGTTGACTTTGCGTGTGCATGTCGTGGCCGATTTACGTTGCGTGAATGGGAACAGGTGGATATACAGGTGATATATATATATTTTTTTTTTTTTAATGATTGAATTGTTCTCCTGTCACTGCACATTTCTGGCGTAGAAAGAGGAACAAAGATATTTATCAGTGGCAAACCTGATTGTGTCAAACAGTAGCACCATTTGGTGAATGGAGAAAAAGAAAGCATACGTTGAGAAATGGACTCTTCCGCTACTGCTTCAATAAATGCCGTTATTTTCTTTAGGGCTTGATACACGGGCCTCCTCAACCCCCAATTCAGGACTCCCTCCCCTCGCACCAGCCCATCCACCAACAGCACCATCAGCAGCAGCCCCCCCACTTGCTGCACCACGGACAGAATCTTTTCCAGCAACAGCTGCCGCATGGCAGTCCGAGGCAGTCAGGCCCCCGCCTCCAAAACCTACAACAGCACAACATGGCCAACAGGCAAAGGATGGTGAGGCACTCTTCGATGTCTACGTATTATAAATGTTATGTTTTTTTTTTGGGGTTTTTTTTGCGGCACCTTGAACATATTTCTTTGACCTAACTTAAACCCTTGTTGATGATGATTGTGAGAAATCATTCACATTATCTGCATCTTTACTTGTGTGATTATAATTAACGATAATCATCCATGTAAAAATATTCTGAGCAAATGTATTTCATAATCAAACTTTGCATTAATCACCCCTTTTACATGAATCGGCACCCAAATAAGTAACTGTCTCAGAATTTATTTATTTTTTGACACTGTATGCATAGTAACAACAAAGTATTTGCTGTAAACTGAGCATACATTTTTTTTTTCTCCCCACTCCGTCCCTGCAGAACACGCCTGCTCCCAAGCAAATCCACCCTCAGCGCAACAGCAACTTACGGGAGCTCCCCATAGCACCTGGCAATGCAAGCATCACCCCCCGCCCCGCCGCCTCACTTGGCGCCAACGTCAGGCCGGTTGTCAAGGCGACGCAGGGCGTGCGTCCCGTGCAGCCTGCTCATGTGGTGCCCGGAGGTGGCAGAGGGAGAGGCCAGGTCGCTACCAATGCCGCCCCACAGCCCATGGCTGCAGGCAGGACGGTGGTTCGCAACGAAATCCCGAGCAGCGCCGAACCGCAGGTCAGAATTTGAACACAAAGTACTGTGGTAGCCCCGAAACATAACACAATCCGACTTCCTACTTGTTCTAATTCCAAAAGAACTTTTCCCATCTTAAATATTTCATCCCCTATAATAATACTTTGAACCATAAAGTATAACCATATTAGCTTCTTCGGCTAGTAACCAAACATGAGTTGAAAACAAGGCCCAATACTCATCGCTGGTATCGGTACTCGCCAATCTCTACAAAAATGTAAAGATGTAAAGTTACTTGGGTTTTTTAATTATTATTATCAATCCTTAACTGCGGGCATTGTTTCATATTTTAATGTACCAAGTATAAAAAAATGTAACACTATCCCACAGGTGTCAAACTCAAGGCCCGCGGGCCAGATTTGGCCCGCCACATCATTTTATGCCGACCCCCGAAAGAAAATCATGGGTGCCAACTTGCATGATCCTTGCTTCAAAAAATGTACCGAAAGGTGAAATTGTGATGTGTAATCAATGAGATTTCGCCAATCATTTTGTTACCTATTAAAGTAAGAATGCGATAATGTGATGAAACACTTTTGTGGTTTCACTGTCATAACGGCCCTCCGAGGGAAGATTTAACTCAGTAGTGGCCCGTGACAAAAATTAATTTGACACCCCTACACTATACAATAACATGAAATGAAAGTAAATCTTACCTTTTGAAGGCTGCTGACAGACTCAATGGGCAGATAAAAGGAAGGGGGGAAAAAATACTGCCGTCTCGTGGTGTTTTTATAGGTACAGCGTAGTTAAAATAAAATTATTGACTTGGTCTTTTTTGTGTTGTACTAAGCAGCCAGATCCAAGTACCCTTTTGGACAGTATGATTTGTCATCAAGTTTCCCTCTTTTGGGATTCTTGTTTGGTGGCACCACAATAAATAAATAAACCGGAACTTACTGGTGGAGTTCATTCTTTAGATAAGGGGTGAGCGAAGATTCTGTGCTCAAGGGCCACATTCAACTTAAAATGGATTGATCCGCTAAATCGTTGATAGCTATTTTTAAAAAAATCACCTCAATGTTTATGATTTAAGATATTTTGTTTGTGGCTTGAACTTGGCAAGTTTCGTCCAATGTTGAGGCATATTTTCACACAAAATTGGACTGTAGAATTTTTTTCATTGTTCCTGTTCCTGAAGCGCTCGATGTACAAATTAATAAATGATCATGTGTAAGTCACAAGCCTCGTTGGCTCTTTCCACCGCTCGCATTAGTCAAGCATATTAGCGTGCTGGAAAGCAACCCCCATTTATTCAAAACCTAATCATGGTCGCTAATGGCAGCAGTCTCTTTACATTGGGGGGAACCGATCAATAGGATCGCTTGATCGTCTGGGGTTTGAACTCTGATTACATTTCAATGTCATGCCCTCTCCAGTCCTCAATTGTAATGGTTGCCCCTTTTGTGTTCCCTCCCCGCCGCAACACAGGACCCGGAAGAGGACGAGGAGACCCGGCAGTACCGTCTGAAGATCGAGGAGCAGAAGCGCCTCCGAGAAGAGATCCTGAGGAGGAAGGAGCTGAGGCGGCAGTTGCAGGCCGGCGTCAGGAAAAAAGAGCTACTGGACAGGATCAACACTTCGACACAAAGCCAACCCGTTGTACCTTCACCGCAACCCACGGCCCAGCAAAACCAGCAAGCGCCGCCCGCCCCGCAGCTTCTGCTGCTCCCGCCGCCACAACAACAGCCACTGGAACGACGGCAGCCTCTACAGCTGCAACAGCAGAGACAACGACCCCAGCAGCCATTCAATCAGTCGCCGGGTAATCCCAATGGCGTGGCTCAGGCGCAAACCCCACGCCCCAACGTCAAGTCACGCTTACAGATGGGAAAGGGAAATAGCCAGCAGCCACAGACTCTCAAGCCCGGTCCGGACCAGCAGTGGAGGCAGCCCCCACAAAGCCCTCTGCAGCAGCAGAGAAGGACAAGCGGGCTGCCGAACGTAAACAAACCCGGCGCTCCCAACCAGTTTGCTCAGATCCCCCGAAAAAACATTCCTGTGACTCCCGCGCTGGGGCCCGGCCAGCCCCAGGCTCAAGGACTTAAACCTGGGGCTAAAAGAACGGTGATGCAGTGGGCCAAGCTCGCTGACGGCGAAGGCCATCAGGTGCCGCAGAAAGTCAGAGTGGTCAAACTTTCCGGCGCGGTGAGCAAAGCGTTTCAATTCATTTCATCCCAAATGGGATACTTTTGGGGGAAACTTAACAAGCCCGCACAGAGACACGCGCGTGGTTGTGTAGAACTGCTCTGTCCTTGCATACTGCCCCTCCCATGTTTCAAAATTAGGTCAGCTGGAATACAGAAACGCCCTTGCAATACACAGGGGATAGGCCATGGCTCGAATTTTGTTTTGAGAGGCTAGAAGAGATTAATTGCATTTCCATTCATCTCAGTGTGGATGCGCGCGTGCTCGCCGTATGTGACTTTTTTCGTGAAAAGGTGAGGGTAGCTTCTTAAAAAAACACACACACACAAATGGGTAAATTAGCAAGCCGTATTTGGGTTGGAGTTCACGGTCAGTTTTCCCTTGAACAGTGAACATCCGTCGAGGAAAAGTAACGCCTCCTTTTTCGAATTAGCAAAACAAAATAGGTAGCAAGTGTAATTATCACACTTCATTCACACACCGCCATAAGTTAACTCAGCCCATCTGAGCTCTGTTGCTCGCAGAAACGGCAGTACCTCGTCTCGTTAGGTAATTCAGTGTGCTATCATGAACTTCACTTCATTAACTCATTCAGTACCAGCCAATTCTGGACCAAGTCTGAAAAGACGTTTAAAAACGTCTTTGGGAGTGAATGAGTTGTTTCATATTATGGAAGGGGAAAAAAAAGAACTATTCCCCCCCCACCAAATGCAACTCTTCATAAATAGACATTAACCCCAGAATGTAGATAGTTGCTACTAGCGGCGTGACTGAATAGCTCTTTTCCCCCCCCCATTTTTCTCTTCAAACACATACTAAGGGACCAAGTATTGAAGAAGTCCGTTTTCCTGGAATTCCTATCTTACCATGTCTGCCAAATATTGAGACCGGCAAAATGCCCTTAATTGTACTTTCTGTCTCTATTTCATCTCAGACCCATGGGCCTGATACGAGGACATCTGTGGTATCATTTTGGCAAAATTGACGTCTTCCTTCAGAAAGATTGGGGAGCTGATATTTAGGACACGGTGTCTTAACGAAGCCTCGCTACAGCGGGGCATCGAGAGAGTCGTGTGACATTTATTTGCAAACTTGGGCGACACCTCATCGCTGCTCTTAAAGGTTGACATCCTCCTATAAGGCCGACTTGTAAATGCTGAAGGGTGGGGTGGGGGGGGGGGGCTTACTGTGAAGTGACAGTAACCCCAATAAAGCCCACCGGCAGTCTTACTCGCCATTTTCTGCTCACTTGATAAGTCACTGCCGTGCGTTTAATTACCCACCAATCTTTATTGAAAAATCACAAAAGGGTGAGCATGTTAAACACTCATACTGATGTTTGGTGTAAGCCACCCTCGCCCCCCTGCTCCCGAAGAGGATCACGCTGGCTGCAGATAAAGATAACCGGGTGTCAGCGCCGTAATGGAAACCTGCGACGCGGCTATCAGACGCGCCGCATCTTTGAAGGGTGGGGATAACCACAGATGGAAACGGCGAAAAGATTCTCCCTTCCTCATTGTTCTGCTGTCATCAACCTGAGCTTGACAATGTTATCTGCATCCCCCC